GACAATATCATGCATATGTGTATCATGTATGTATCATGTGTGTGGGTTTCAGTATATGATGATTACTTCTGAAGTGGGGGGAGAAAAAGATGTAAAATAAAGGAGCACTTAACAAATAAAAAAATAAAGGCAATGTTCTGTATCTTAAACTGAATGATAGATACCATTATTCCTCATAGTTTTTTTATATTAAATATTTTCTTCGGTTAATCATGTAAAATATATTTTTAAATGTCAACGGAAAGTATCTAATTGAGGAAGAATGGTTGGCTATTCAAGAAGCAGTGAAAAAAAATATCCCCTTTATATAGCCCAGAAAACACATGCAGGGTCAGAATATGAGCCCACGGCTATACCAGGTCATCACTTTGCTGTAAGGGACCATAGATTCAGGATCATTGTAAGAGACATGCAGGTCAGTGAGTTGTCACATACATCAGTACAGACATCTGATGTAGGCTACAAAAGTGACATTACTGGTACTCAAAGAAGAAGATATTTTAGGCAAGGCATATGACTAAGTAAAAATATTTTTTCATTGTTACTACTGCTTCAAAAGATGCTCAGTGTCATTTATATTTAAAATGAAAATTGAAACAATACTTTTTTTTACTAAGAATATAATTGAAGCAAATGTTTTTCTAGTTTCTACCAAATTTAAAAATGCAAAAATCCTGTAGTCTAGTAATCTCACTGTTTAAAACCTATTCTATTGAAATGCCAGCTAAAATTGTCTATATTGATAAACAAGTATATTCTACTCATAGAGTAATTAAATACATATGGTATGTATGTATGTACATACATACACAAAAATACTATAGAATACTATGCAAACTTTACAAAGAATTAAGCCATCACACATGTATATACTTGCAAATGTGTCTATCACATATTTTTAAGAAGCAAGCTCTAATGCAGAATGTATAGTATTATTACATTAAAAATATGTGTTTATGTGTGTGTATTACTGTTTTTGTAAGAGTTACTTACAAGGTAAGTATGAATGTGGAGCCTCTGTCATGCCCAAAGTAAGTACTTAGGATGAGGAAGGCTCCTATTTGGATGTATAAAATGTATTCAAGCTTTATATGTATTTAAAAGGTTCAAAGTTAAAAAGGGGGGGGGGTTGAAAGAATCTACATCAAGCTTCTGAACATTGACTTTCTAGAGAATGGACGGGTGAGGTTTATTTTTATTTCTGTACTCCTTTAAATTAAGTCTCAGCTTATATCTATCAAACATGTATTGCTATGCCTTCCATTCCCTGTAGGATTTAACAAGTAGGTAGTCTGTTTTCATTTTTATTTTTAAAAATAATTCCTCAACAAAAGGAACTGAATCTTTATGGACAGAGTGGGGATATCCCCAAATTTCTTTTAGAGTTGGCAAGAAAAAAGACAACTTAAGCAATGTGACAAGAGCACGTTCCTGTCAGTGACCGAATCCCTCAGTGTAGCCGAGCTACACAATAGTCATCCTTTAACTTTCCTATCCCTGTGGTCCTCTCTGTACTAACCAGTGTGTCTGTTCCATTTCTTTCACCTTTCTCTCAGCTCTACCTGCCACGGACTTGCTCTGTGCTTCCAGACCCCGGGAGGAAGTCAGCCTGTGCGGATCCAGCGGTTAGTGGTTAAGGGAAGTTGGTGGTTGAATACATACACTTTGTTCAGGATGCTCCTTTGCCTAAGTCTGGTCCTGCAGGGGAGGTGGGCTCTCTGGCACATTTTCCAAGCTTAATTCTGTGACCAGAACTAAGAGGTTCTGCCTGCGAGGGCTTTGTGGCACACTGAAGGGGCACAGCTTGCTGTCTGCCTTTTCACAGACAGGAGGACACAGGAGGCTGCCAGTTAGGATCCAGAGTCTCCTGCACTCTGAACCCTGAGCAAGACATTTAATCTCATAGCTTCCTTTATCTTGTGTGTGAAACGAAGAAAATAAGAGCTTCCAGCTCATGAAATTATTAGGATTAAGTAAAAAAAAATGTGACCAGAATTAAGCACTCAATAAACTTTATAATTATAATATTAAAAGATGGGCATGGTCACATTCATGTAGATTACTTCCAGCTGAACTCAGGCTCCAAGCAAGTATCCTTCAAACTTCAGAGAGAAACACATTAGTGAGTTATAAAACCCATTTAGTGGGTAGTAGTCAACATTGAAAATAATTAATGGAATAGAAAAACAATAATCAAAAACACACACACAGAAGACGTTGCATATAAAAAGCTCATGGAAAATTCATTGCTTACTGTGGTCTCAGGTTAAGTGAGTTTGAAAAACAATGCTTTAAGCCAAACAAATGTGCAAAACAGAAACTCTTCCCCAATTGTCTTCTCAACTCCACTCATCTCTGCCTCTTTCAAGTAAAGTGAGCAAAAGCTCTAGGGCTTTGGAAACATGCTGTAGTGATCCATCTTTTTGAGAATGCAGGAGCATGCTGGGGTGATGTGAGAAATCAGGAGGTGATGGTGAGAGAGCCAGTTCATTCAAACATGTGCCGTGGCTACTTCCCAAGCATACGGGGCAGGGATAAAGACGTTTAGAACTAGCCAGGCCTCAGGATGTGGTTCTTGTTTTTGTTTGAAACTTTTCCTCTTAATTCAAGTATGGAGACTGTGACGGAAGGCCTGCAAGGTTCTTTTAAGTCTATAAACCTGTCACTTAAAATTCCTGCTTTTAGTAGGTAATGTTTGAGGAGCAAAGCTCATAAAGTTTAGTGAGTGAAGAAAGTGAAGTAGTTTTAGATTTTTTTCATTGTTACTACTACTTCAATGTTGATGGATTTTTAAATTCTATTTCTACTGTTTCTCTAAAAATAATTTTTGCTCTGTACAGGTTATAGTAGCTAAACACATGGAAGTAAAATATGACAATACTTAAAAATACATGGAAGAAAACCAGGCTTAGGACTAGAATTAGGTTGCTGGGACTGACATTTTGAGGGAACTTATGCCCAGGAACAAAGTTATCTCTAACCTGTAGAAATCTACCTTTTTTGTTTCGAAAACCAGGCTTAGGACTAGAATTAGGTTGCTAGGACTGACATTTTGAGGGAACTTATGCCCAGGAGCAAAGTTATCTCTAACCTGTAGAATGTACCTTTTTTTTTTTTCCTTCCTATCATTTAATATGGAGAAACCAAGTAAAAATAACCATGATAATGTAACTATATATTATCAGTCTCAATTATTTTATTTGCTATTTCCTTCTGTAATGTTATGAGCTGTTCATTATAAATACATTTACTTCCAACAGAATTAGCCACCTAACATTAATCAAAGAGCATGATTAGTTAGAAACTAAGATTCAACATATACCATGCTGCATTTTCCTCTTTGTATCATGTTTCAATTGAAATATGTCTCTAGTGCTAATTATAAAAATTGTAGAAATTCCACAGAGGACTCTGTTGGAATCAAAACCATACACTGAATTGTATGTCTATTACCTAATACACAACAAATCATAATTGTAATCACATTAGTATCTGTAAAGAAATATAGAAAAATTTAAAATGTGTGTGTGGACCTGTATATAATTAACCATGTCAATGTATAGGTACAGATATAGATACATATATGGTTGTATCTCTCAAATGTTTTTCATAAATATAAAAGTTTGGTTTGCCATGAAACATCTGTTATTTCCTCCCATGAATGCTGATTTCAGGTTTGGTGGTTTCAACTAGAGGCCTAGGGGTCTGGGGATGTTTTGAAATTTGGATGGTTGCATGGACTAACCCTGAATATGGACAGTGGAGAGGCCTTGAATTAGTATACAATCATTTCCTGCGCTTCTTTCTATAAGACTCATAGACAAATCCCTCTCAACCACTTGCTTACTTTAAGATGCTGGGAAAATTATTTAAATTCCTAAATATCAGTTTTCTTCTTTCCAAAATTGAATAAATAATAACTTTAGAAAGTATGTTTTCCATCTCATCATTACAGCCAGGTTAATATTAAAACCAAGGGGAGCCTGGCTGGTATGGCTCAGTGGTTGAGTGTCGACCTATGAACTAGGAGGTCACGGTGTGATTCCTGTTCAGGACACATGCCTGGGCTGCAGCTCAGTCTCCAGTGTGGGGCCTGCAGGAGGCAGCTGATCAATGATTTTCTCTCACCATTACTGATTCTCTCTCTCTCTCTCTCCCCCTCCCTCCCTCTCTGGAATCAATAAAACTATATAAATATATAAAATAAAAACAAGGGGAGACAAAACAAATCCAAGAGTCAGTATGTTTTACATAGGTTGGCAACCAGAAAGTAGATTAAAAAATTAATGGTCCCCTAATGAATCCAACCCTGATATATATACATCCTTGTAAAGCCTCCTCTCATAGTGACGCTGAACTTGGCCATGTGCCTTGCTTGTCCAACGAGACATGAGCAAATGTGAAAGAAGCAAAGGCTTGATAAGTTCTTGCCCATTAGGGCTTAGCTGCTGGGAATGCTACCTTCACTGTCAGAATCCCAGGATCTACTGCTGAAAAGGTCCCAGGGAGAAGAGCCACGCCAAAGATTCTTGCTAAATACCATCTTGCATTGCCCAGCCTCAGTTGAGCCACCGGATGACCATAGTTATATGAATGACCCCAGATCATCAGAAGAACCATCCAACTGAGCCAAGCCCAGTGTGCAGAATTGTGAGTAAATATATGGTTATTTCTAGTCCCTACATTTTGGGGTGGTTTGTTACTTACGATAAATACCTAATACATTCAGCTATCTGGTAGGATAAACATTTCATGCTGTTAATATTGAAATCCATAAATAATATCTAGGAATGACCAATCATGTGAGTTAAAAACATATAACACATGTAGACAAATGAGTAAAATTACCAAATGTACAAAACATAATCAGAAAATAGATTTTAAAATATGGGATAGCAGACTAAGTTGTCTTTGTGAACAAATTTTCTGTGCTGGACTACTACTTTGTGCTGTTCAAGAAATATATATTATATATAATTCACTGAATATGTATAACTTACTGAAACATGATCTTCTGTGAAGCATATGCTGGAACATCTTGCACAGAGATTCTTCACTTTGTGACACGGTCCTACAGGTGCACTGCACTTGAAGCACCGTCCCTAGGGTGCCCATGTAAGCTGCTTTGCAGTCATCGCTTCCTGAGCAAATGAGGTCCTGCTTGCCCAAGGTACTGATGCAAGTCTCATCTTCATGGCACTTTCTAGTCACAGGCTGCCAGCATTTTGACTGAAATGTCCTGTAGCGCCTCCTATAGAGTCAAGAAATGGACTTCATCTCTGAATCATATTTATTCACATTAGCATGCGGTGCTTCCTCGGCTAATGAAAGGCTGACATAAAACACAATGCCTCCTAGATGCCAGTACATAGCTGAAAACTAAGTTTGTACATTTAAACATCCCAATAGAGAGCGTGGAAGAAAAAGTGGGGAAACCTTGTGAATTTCCTCGCGTGATGAAAGACAGAGGCTAAGTTTACGATTCCCTGGATGAATTTTCCTTCATTACTAATTTTCTTTCAATGGCTGATGATTTGCAGTCTGAACTACATGGGAGATTTATTAGCAGTGTTTTCTGAAGCAGAATGTGGTTTTGGTTGACTAGCAGTTGGCCACTGTTTCACACCAAGTGATTTTAGATAAGGCTCTTCACCTTTCCAGCCTGTTTTCCCACAGGATGGGAGGTAATATATTCTTTCTTAACATTTCTAAGCAGGCCAATTAGAATTTTTAAAATGCTTTGAGCTTCTGACTGCAAAAGCTAATTTAAAGCAAAAAATTTATGAGTTTATTTAATTGCCAACATAATCCATTAGAACCACATCCATTCATAACTTTCCTGACCATGTATTCATGCTGTACTAGCAGTGAATAAAGATCTCACTAATGTACAATAATTTCATATTTGAAATTTTCACAGTAACAGGATATTCCTCTCAGTGGAACCAAGGATATTAATCTTCCTACTTAATATTTATCACCTAAAATTATTTTTTACCCTTTATTGAATAGGTCACCATTAAACCTACATGAAAACCCTCTGAATACATACTTGTCATGAGCTTATTTGTCCACATGGTCCTACTCTGCTAAAACCATAAGCTACATTATTTTCAATAATCTCATATTTTAAGTCATCTTAAAAGAATCAGCTTTTCAATACATTGGCAAAATTAATTTACACAGAAAGAAATACAATAGAAAGTTTGAGTATATAATTTTGATGCCAGAAGAACAAATATATTCCTTTAATGCAATTATGGGTTATTCATAAGATGTTATCTAAATGTAAGTATTGCCCTGGCTGGTTTGGCTCAGTGGATAGAGTGTCGGCCTGCGGACTGAAGGGTCCCAGGTTTGATTCCAGTCAAGGGAACATTTTCGGGTTGTGGGCTTGATCCCCAGTAGGGTGCATGCAGGAGGCAGCCAATCAATGGTTCTCTTTCATCATTGATGTTTCTATCTCTCTCTCACTCTCCTTTCCTCTCTGAAATCAATAAAAATATATTTTTAAAAATTTGTTTAAAAAGTTGTTAGACATTTTTTCTAAGCAAATTCCTTTTTCCCTACTATTTTATCAAGTTTACAAATACAAATCTGTAATGCATTATAATTTTCTGTATGTTCCCAACTGCATATAATTGGCAAAACATAATCTCAACTCCCAGTATATATTTGTGTTGGACAAAATTAATTGGAAAATAGTCTTTGGCTCATTTAAATAAAGGAGTTTCAAATCTATTATGTATTTGTGTTGGACAAAATTAATTGGAAAATAGTCTTTATATTGACTCCTTTGGCTCATTTAAATAAATAAAGGAGTTTCAAATCTATTATGTATTAAAGAATCTGGAACAGGTACAGAAGTACTATTTTCAAACCCAAGTGCTCTCCTTAGCCTCATATACAGCCTCTTCAGCCAATGAAGGAAGTGATAAAGGGCTTAATATCTTCACTGAAGACATAGTTTTTCTCTTGGAGATTTTTCCCATCTGAATTACATTAACACAAATTTAATATAAATGCTGGAAATCTCTCTAAGGCAAACTTTGCTTGAGAAAATGACAAGATTTGTCTTTTCACCTTGACTACTAATATTGTGTAATATTTCCATCACTTCTGTAAAGTATTCATTAAGGGATTATCCCACATGGTGGAAAGACATTGATAACACACAGCCTTACTCTAAACTAATCTATGAAAGATAGAAATTACATAAAAGGAGACATGTATATCAATAAATTATAAAAATAAAGTGCAAGATATTAAAAAATAGAGGAAAATATATGACAACTTTTGTGTCTTCTGTGTCCTGGACCCTGAACCAAGCACTTTGGAGAGGTGGTGAAACCCAGGATTATTTGTGGAGGAAATTTAACAAAAAATGTACCATTCAATCTGATGCCAAGGTGAGTTTATTTCAAATGTATGTGGTTCAGAATCCATCACGGGACTTCTCAAGGACTGTAACAGCAGACCCCATCACTTGCCATTAAAATATTTAATTTGAGAGGGAAGCTTAGATATATCATTCTTTGAAGGTTGAATGCAAGTATTTTAGGATAATGAGGTAGCATATCTAGAGCCCTTGTAGTGGTATCAGGTAAAACTGGGTGCCCATCCATGCAGATATCTGGTACGCTTATAGGGATTGATTAAAACATGATAACATATCCCCTGGCTACTTAAAATGTTATTAGGTTTCATTTTTAGTGTACATGGATGATAGATCATTGATAGATAGATGGTAATATTCTATTTGTAAAATATGAGAAAAATAGTATAATCAAACATTTTAATCATATTTCATTGAATGGAGGAGATATCATTGCTTTATTATAACTGAAATCACTTGTTGGCAATTAAATTATTGTTATAACTTAATGAATGTTTTCTGGTCATTGAGCTTAAGACTCATCCCAAAATGTTAAGGATATGAAAATGTATAAAAAATTTACATCATCCTAGCTGGTTTGGCTCAGTGGATAGAGCATCGGCCTATGTACTGAAAGGTCCCAGGTTCGATTCCAGGCAAAAGCACATGCCTGGGTTGCAGGCTTGATCCCCAGTGGAGGGCATGCAGGAGGCAGCCAATCAATGATTCTCTCTCATCATTAATGTTCCTATCTCTCTCTCACTCTCCCTTCCTCTCTGAAATAAAGAAATATATATATTTTTAAAAAATTTACATCTTAGAATCAATAAAATATAATATGTTACTAAAAAAGAATTTGGAAGATATAAATGAATTTGAAAAATCTAAATTGCATTATAAAATATTTTTATCATTGATATTATTTTTAACCCAAGAGAAGTTATTAATATACCTTAAAATAACTGATAAAACAATTACATGAAAAAATTCTTAAATAAAATTTTCTGAAGAACTTTGGCATTCTATACAAGTTGAAGCAAAAAATATGTGAATGTCCTAACATTCTGTTTAGATCTTTACCCTTTATCTTACTGAATGAGTATTATAGGGAAGCAGTAGTCTTTTTTGACAAATGTTTACAAGATCTGGAGCTACTTTTTCAAGTTAGAATGACTGAGAGAAAAGGAATTAAGATAGTTGACAGTTATCGTTTGACAAGGCCAAAAGAAAACAGTTTACCAAGAACCGAGCCCTTGAGAAAGTTATCATTAAATCTTTTAGTTCATTTGCCAGTGGTTGAAGCAAGGTGACAAATGGGATAGATCTTGCTCTGAGCTAATCCTCCATACTAAATATTTATCTTGACATTTAAATGAGTTTGCTATATATGAAGTTTTATCCATTTGAATAAAATTAATTATAATAGCCCCTGCTAAATGCCCCAGGTAAACAAATTAATATAAAGTCTTACTCAAAAGAGAAGCAAAAGTAGAATTCAAAAGTTATATAGTTTAGGGCTGGTTGTTGTAAACTATATGTTTTGACCCATCAAATTTATTTAGTATTTTCATATTTCCCTCCATCTTCTTACTCTTGTCTAAAGAGGCCAATTTGACTTTTGATTTTTTACCACACAAAAGATAAAATTCATCTTGAATATACAAGGAAATGTGTTAATGGCCATACTAAGGAAAATAAATAGTCACGGTGTTGGATTAGAGTTGTGGTTCCCAGGAGCAGTTATCTGTAAAAGTACAATCTAGTCTCAACTAACAGCAAGAGTTGAAGTTTTAACAAGTATCATACCTCCACTCAAAATCCTCCAGTACTTCTCCATTTGACTTGGTGTAAAAACCCAAGTTGATGGTGTCCCTCAAGGCCCTGTGTGATCTAACCCCACTTCCTCTGCAGTTAAAGCTCTCTAACCACTTCTCCATTGCTCTCCCCCTCCACTCTCTGCCCTCATTACCTTGTAACAGGCCACACACATTTCTTTCTCAGCACTGGCTGCTCTGTTTAGTATCTCTTCTTTCCGTTATTTACTGAGAGAGGCTCATTACCTCCCTCACTTTTCCTCTTTTAAATGCTCTCTCCTGGGACCACCCCATTTACATTGCTACTCTTTCCATCCATACAGAACCCCTCTTATTTTGTTGTGCTGCTGTTGTTACTATCCAGAGCACTCATTATCTTACAATATAATATACATTTTTCTTATGCCATATCTGTCTCCCCCACTAGAATATAAGCTCCACAGGGCAGGCATTTTTGTCTCTTGTACACTGATGCCAAGGTGCTTGACAGGACTTATTTCAATAGACAAATAAATGACTAACATTACCCCCTTCCGACTCAAAGGTATAAAGTTGGGAAGAGAATAGCTGTTTCTGACATCATGGTATGGATGTGTGCTGGGGATATAGCTACTTCTCCTCTCTGATCTTCAGACTAAGACAGAAAGGATTTATTTTGAAGTTTGATGAGTCAGCTTGTCAAAATTGTATGACATTTAACAGCCCTCTATGATTATGCCAAAAAGAAAATTAAAAACTGACATACAAGATAGGTTCATTATCCATTAGTCTAATTTGAATATATAATTTCAGTAATGCTATTTCATGGCGATCAAAACCTGACTTAAATTGATTTTTTTTTTATTCCAAACATGTTCCACATTTGAATTTCAAAGAGGATACTACACATGTACCACAGATTCAAAAATATGAATTGTCTGGCTTTGTTTACATCATGTTGGGTAATGGTGGGAACTCTAGCTAATGTAATGAGATCAAGTGTTAGGACTGGACTGTAACAAGTAAGGTGCCGAAATAAGAAAGTAAGGTATGCGTGTTTTACTCACCTGCATAATTCATCATTTCGGCAGCTGCGAATTACATTGAGGCAAGTAGGGGGTGGAACTATGTTCACTGCACATGGCTTGCTGTGAAGAGCTTCTTTGGACTGCTGACAAGGTATATCAGATGGAGCACAGTCACAGAAAGCCAACATCTGGGCAATATTAAAAGGCATATTTTGATAGAAGAACCGTATGGCTGCTTGGCAGTGTTTCACATCACACAGATTTCCATTTGCTGAGCAAGCTTTAAGGTACAGGGCCAACTGTGCATTACAGACTGCATCCCCTACACACATCTCTGCCACTTCCAAACAGGACCGGATCCCTTTCGTTCCTGAAAGCAATGACATACCCAGGTCAGGTTGTGAAAATGTAAACATAAAGCTGTCTTTACAGAATCTGCAAAACACTGTGAGATGTCTAGGAGCAAAATACAACTTTGTACCAATGTTCTATGTTGAGCAAACATTTCATTTCTTTATAGAGGTAATCTTTACTGAGACCTGAGTAGTGGGCTATTTGAATCATCTTTCAGCTCTACTGGATATGTATTGTGATCCAGAAGAGAGGTGGAGTGTGTAGGGCCAAGACTGAGCTGAAGGGAAAACCCTTGAGTCCAAGTTTCTCGAATGTAAACAATAAATCAGAAATTTCATTTGAGTTGTATAGCTTATGATGAGTTCATTGGCTCAAGTGAAAATGATTCTTATTCTGTCACACTTTTTATTCTGGAGGGAAATCTTGACTAAAGGCTTCACGTAGTTATCCCAACATATAAAGATGCTCACATTCTAGAAAACACAGGAACATGTGAACCCTTGCCCCAAACACAAACGAACGTACACATAAATGGTTGGCCTAAAACAATTTAATGTAGGTGATAAAAATATCCATAAAATTTAACCAAGATCTAGTCTTTGGTTTTAATTGTAAAGTATTCCTCAGCATAACCGGAAATAGGTGATAAATAGGCAAATCAGTTGCTTTGATACATTAGTGTACAAAATGCAATGATTTTGAGAATTCTTTAATATTTAAACTATCAAAGAGCAGCACAATTTATTTTGTATTGAAATATCTTTAAGGAGCCTTGTAACTACTTTTTAAATTATATTGTCCTGATTTTAGAATGCTAATCAAAATTACAAATTATAAACATTACCATGATAGAAAAGAGTGGTTAGATTCTACTCGAATTTATTACCCTCTTCCATGTTATCTAGAAGGAAAACAAAGACTTTCATTCGTGAACAATTTTCTAAATTTAATAGGAAAATGTGGGCTACATTTATGAGTAATTAAACAAAAATACATGCAAGCTCATGTAACACTTGCTTAACCCTTAATACTCAAAATTAGCGAGGAACAGATGAAGAAAAATAAACCCCAGAAATATAATTCAAGTGAGTTAAACAGCTCTGCTGTGAGGATTCAGTTACTTAAAGGTTTAAACAAATGCTAATGACTAGGCCATGTGCACTGAAGTAAACAAAGAATCTGTCTGGGGAGAAAAAACAGAGGGAATATTGTCTGAACCAAAAAAAAAAAAAAAAAAAAACTTCTTCCCAGTAGGGTCTTAATTAGATTGAAATGCAATTTGAAGACTATTTCCACCTCTCATTATTTTAGTTTCATAGAGTTCTTAGGAATTAAAATTATAGGATCGGAGGACCTTACTGATGGAAGTAAATTGAGTAGCCTTTAATTCTAAAATCTTCAAGAAGCATTGGTTGGGTTCCTACTATGTATCAGGTGCCACATCAAAGACACACATCTGCAGTCCCTGTCCCAGAGCTTCCCCAGCCTGGCAGGAAACACAGACATATAAACAGAAAAGATATACACACAATGACAAAAAAAACCAAAGTGACAGGGAAATAGTATGATTTGATTTTTATGTAAAATAAAAATTCAATTTTCCCATTGGTTGCTGATATATTGACTTCTGTTATGGCATAAATGTCATTTCATGATGCTGTTTTTGTCCCTACTTGAGCTGTCTGTCCAAACTTTCTGCCTGCCCATCTATTGCACATACATGATGGTATAGTAACGAGAAGATTATTTTTACCCCCATGTGTCACAGCCTTTCTAGATTCCTTGTTTTACTCTGTCTGTTCTCACTACCCAGTTTTTCATTTTTCTACTGATTAAGTTGAAGCTCGAGGACCACTGAGCTGAGACTTAATCTCTTCTGGACTCTACTCTCCTGTGTCTCTGAGGAAGCCTGGAATGTTTCTTCTCTGCTAGCATCCCATAGCGCCGTGGTCGGCAAACTGCGGCTCGCGAGCCACATGTGACTCTTTGGCCCCTTGACTGTGGCTCTTCCTAAGCCTTAGGAGTACTCTAATTAAGTTAATAACAATTGTACCTACCTATATAGTTTAAGTTTAAAAAATTTGGCTCTCAAAAGAAATTTCAATCGTTGTACTGTTGACATTTGGCTCTGTTGACTAATGAGTTTGCCGACCACTGCCAGTGAGTGAATAAATCCCAATAAGCAGACCTCAGAGAGTCATAGAGCTTTTGTAAACACACAAAAGCCTAGGCAAATCCTTCTATTATAGATTAATACCTCTACTTTGGAATTGATTGCCACTGACTAAAACATACTCAGGAAACTATCATTGAAATATAAATAAATATTGAATTTACTGACTGTTATGGACTGAATGTCTGTGGCCCTCCAAATGTCACTAACACCTAGTGTGGCTGCCTTTGGAGATGATATCACTAAGGAAGTAATTAAGGTTAAATGAGGTCACAAGTATGGCAAGCTAATCTGAGGATTAGTGTTCTGTTAAGAAGGAACATTAGAGACCTTATTCCCTATCCCCATCCATGCACACACAACATGTGATTTCATATTAGGACATAACAAGAAACCAGGAAGGTTATAAGTCGGCAAGAGAGCTCTCACCAGAAACCAACTCTGATGGACCTTGATCAGAAACTTTCATCCTTCCGAACTTGAAGAAAATAAATTTTTGTTGTTTAAGCCACCAGCTGATAGTATTTTGTTATGGCAACCCTAGCAGAGTAACATATTCACTATAAGTATAATTATTACAAATACAGCAGAACAGATATTTTAGCATGGGGAAATAAATTTAGCTTGGATGTATACAATATTATGCTATGAGGAATGTATTATGTAAATTATCTGTACATTAAATTCTAATTTCATATGATACATACACATTTTTCCCCAGAGGACATTTTAAACTCTAGCTTAATTACTGCAGAGGAACTGAAGGTCAATATGTCATGGAAATAAATAAAATCATGAAACAGTCAGGTTTAAGTCATTTACAAGATCATATACATAAAAAATACATACAGTTTTTTCTTATTGATCCACTAACAGTAAAATATATCCAGAATCAGATATCTTCTCACTCTGCTCTCACTCTGGTTTAAGACACCAAGCATTTTTTCGATTGACCTCATCTAGTCCTATGGTCTTGTTATCTTTAAGTAAATGACCCTCCAATGCATATGTACTGAATAGATCTCACTTCTTATGTCATGCATAGAACTTAGATATCAATTCTATATATAAAACTGCCTATTCATATCTACACTTGAATACCTAGTAAACATTTCACACTTAACACATCCAAAACCCACTTCTCACCTTTCCTCTGCTCCCCACTGAAGACTCTTTTTCCTGTAGTTAAAAAATAATGGTGACCACGTCCTTCTAATTACTCAGCACAAAAACTTTGGTGTCAACTTTAATCGTTTTTTTCCCCTTGCATTCCCACATGACCCACTACTATAAAAACATATTCAGAATCTGACAAGTTCCTACATGAATCCATCATCTTTTTTTTTTTCTGCATCATTATAAAAGCTCCTACATGATCTTCCCACTTGGGCCTTTCCTTCTCTACAGTGAGTTGTCAACATAAAAAAAAAAAAAAGGATTATCCTGCTAAGGATATAAATCAGACCCTGTCACTCCCTGATCAAAATCTTTCAGTGGTTTCTTATATCACGTAGAGTAGAGCCAACCATTTTGAAATGACCTAAAATGCCCTTCATGAGCTTGTCCCGTTTTTATATCAGATCTCATCTCCTACACCTTTTGCACTTGCTCTCTCAGCTCTAGCTCATGTCCTCTTTGCTTTTCTTCAAATTTCCAGTAATATTGAAACCAAGGTTCAACTTCCTGACACCACGAAAGCCACCCTTGTGAAGACAGATGATGGCTAAAAAGGAAAGAGGTTTATTCAAGTACTTGCATCTCAAGATGAGGAACTCTTGTCCAAAGCCCATCTCAACATCTCATTGTAGGCAAAGGTTTTTATAAGGAGGGAGAGGCAAAGCAGAACAAAGAAATAAACAAAAAGCTCTCCATGTAAAGGCCATCACAGTTCATTCTGATAAGTACCTCAAAAACTTTCAAGTGATGGTCTGGTGTGCATCATCCTGGTCTTTGTCATTTTGGTTCTATGGTTAAAGATCAGCAAATCTCCTGGAACTAGGATGACTAAAGGTCAGGCTCTATAGATTCTGAAGTAAGTTGCCAGGATTTTTACACAAACATGCTGTTTCTCTATAAGCTACATATTTGACAGAGTCAGCATTTACAGAAACAATGTCAAAAGAATGGTGGGGTGGGTTACAGTTCCCCTCTGTTACAACATTCCCACCTTAGGATCTTTAGCTAGCTGTTTCTTCTGTCTTAAATGCCCTTTCCCAAGATATTCACAGGACTCAGTCCTTTCCAATCTTTACTCAAACATTTGCTTTTTTCACAACTTTCTGGCCATTCTATAAAAAATACTTAAATCTCCTCTTTTGATGATCCAGGTACAAGTTTCCCTAGCTATTGGGAGTATTTTGAGTGCTGAGTCACACTAGTCCTTTTCCCGGCATTGCCAAAGAAAGCTGTCACACCCAAGGTTACAGACTTACTCAGATTACAGCTCATATCTCAGGACTAGTCCAGTTGATGGGTTCAAGGATCAGGGATGAGGAGGCTCCCTTGCCTCAATGGGTATGATATCTCTGAAAAGCTATTCCAGGACCATGCTTCTTGTGGAATCAACCACATTTGCTATGGCCATTTTGTTGCATTTCAACTTCTTTCTCTACCTAATCCTGTTTTCCTCTCTTCATTATTGCTTTGGTTACTGATATCAAAGCCCATTATCTATGTGCAAACAAACTTCTGTATCAAAGTCTGATTCTAGGGATTTTTGTTCTGTTTGCTGTTGTATCCCATCTTAGCGTATGGCCTAGGGCATGGTAGGCACTCAAAACAAATATCTATTAAATAAATGAATCATCATCACTTTCCATGATGATCAATTGCTTTAAGTTTTTAAGTCCCCTGAAAAAAAAACAACAATAAGCTCCTTCAATGAAGGATATAGAGTTTTTGTTTTGTTTTGTTTTTAATCCTGTTGCACAGGAACTAGCACATGCTACATGTCTCCTAAGTATTTGTTCAATAAATGAATGAATTCACATTTTGCTAAAACCTTTTAGCATTTGCCTCTTTGTTCATAATCACTTCAGACATAGTCATAGTATAAAGTTTTGAAATTTTAATTTCCTAGGAGAAACACAGGCAGAAATGACAGAGCTGGAATCAGAAATTAAATATACTTTAGTTAACTCATATTTGTGATCATACTTAATGTTTCTAAATTCTTTTGAATACCAACCGGAAGCAGTGGCCTGGCTGAATTCATCTTCATCATCTTCACTGAAGGCTGGAACTTGATTAATTTGAGCATCCTGCATACATTTGTCTTCAAACAAACTCTTCCAAATTTCAATGCACTCTACTTTCGAAGGGTCATTACACTGACAAGTCCATAAGATTGTTTCTTTCAGGCTTTCTGTTAATGCTGCACACAGGTGGCTTCCATCAAGGGTCTTACATTGTTCTGATTCCCTCCCACAGATTTTCTTAAAATTCTCATATAAAAAAGTGCAATGCTCAGATTCCTGGCAGATTTTTGCTGCTATGGCACAGTCATTCATTTTTTCAACCATTAGCGATGTATCTTTCTGATGGAACCATTTTGTGGTATTTAATTGTGATGCCAAATCTGAGGATAGTGCTGATTCTTCTATGAATAAAGTAAAATTGAAAAAAATTAATTAGCCTATGACATTTGAATGTTTTCTAACAGGAATATAGACATATCCTTACTAAATATTTCATTATCTACAGTCTCTGAAAAATAATTAAACTTATTTCCAGAGTGCTATGACAAATAATCTTGAACTGTTAAAAATTGAGAAACACTAGTTTGTGTAACCAAATAATGGGCATTTTTAAAATATTTGTCCTCCGCATATGCTTTTGTCTTTTCTTTATATTTTGACAATGATTGGTACCTATACTAAAGTGTTTCTCAAACTTTTTCATTATTTCCCCCTTAAGCCTTTTTAGAGAGTTTTTAAAAATAATTCCTCTACTTTCTCTTGAAAATTTAATTCCATAGATATACTATATATATATGTTTAGAGGGAAAATACATATATATATTAGAGGCTCGGTGCACAAAATTCTTGCACTGGTGGAGGGGGCTCCCTCAGCCCAGCCTGCGCCCTCTTGCAGTCCAGGAGCCCTCGGGGGATGTCCACCTGCAGGCTGACATCCCTCTTGCAGTCTGGAACCCCTCACTCCTAACCGTTCATCTGCTTGCTCCTAACCGCCCGCCTGCTCACTCCTTACCACTTGGCTTGCCACTTCTTAGTGCTGCCGCAGAGAAGGGAGAGGGTCCCACCACTATTGCTGCGCTTGCCAGCCATGAGCCCGGCTTCCAGCTGAGCAGTGCTCCTGCTGTGGGAGTGCACTGACCACCAGGGGGCAGCTCTTGCATTGAGTATCTGCTCCCTGGTGGGCAGTGCACATCATAGTGACTGGTCTGTTTTTTTCTGCCATAATGGTCATTGGGCTTTTATATATATAGATATTTATAGATATATATACTTTAAGCATAATAAATTTTAATGGGCAAAATTTGAAGAGACACTTACAAATCATATATATCAAGGCATATAAGCACTTGAAAATATGCTCAATGTCATTATTTTTAAGTGCAAATCAAATCCATAGTGTGGGACCACTAAATATGTATTGAGATGGGAAAATGTGAAACGATCTGAGAATGTGGAGCAACTGAAATTTTTATATATTGATGGTTAAACCAAATTTGAAATGTTGTTTGGAAACTTTTTATAAAAGTTAAACATAAACTTTATCATATGACCCAATAATTTCTTACCCAAGAGAAATAAAAACATACATTTGTACAAATCTTATCTGTGAATATGTATAGCAGCTTTATTTATGTCCCTAAAAAATGCAAGTGAGTCTTAATGGTGAACCAATCTGTGGTCTAACATAGACTGGAATACTACTCCTCAAAAAAGGGAACAAACTTATACATGAAACAATGATGAATCTCAAATGCATTATGTTAAGTAGAAGAAATCGGGCTGAAAAAGTTGCATGTGATATAATTCCCTTCATATGAAATTCTGGGAAAGGCAAATTATAGATAAGAAAAGTGGTGAGTGAGGTCACCATGCATCATTGGAGGAATTGGACAGTGGGACCATTCAAGATAGAGGAGGGGAAAGCCTATTGTTTATAGGGTGGGAGAAGGTTGCTTTGTGAAAGAAGAGGTGAAGACTTTAGTGTAATTACAGAAATATGTTGTGCAGATATTGAGATGTACAACTCACAGACTCTTAAGTTGCTTGAAGACAATCAATTATTTAAGTTCATAAAATTTATTAGATGCAATTAATTTTAAAATTGTACTTTTCTTTTTCATAACTTTAAATATTCCATATAACAATATATTACCTGATTCATTGATGCATTTTCTTCCAAGCAGTTTGTTAACAGTGCAATAGAAGTCATCAGTACAGATACAATCTTTAAATTGTAAACTGGTTTCCAGTAAGGATTGGATGCCCAGGTTACAGCTCAATGAATTCTTCATCCTGCAGGGGTCACCTGGATTTCACAAACATATAGCATTCCAGATATTATTTTGAATATAATTTTATCCAAAGTGCTTTTAACATTAATCTGAGTAATTTATTATTATTGTTATTATTATTTTTACTAGGAGCCCAGTGCATGATTCGAAATTGCACGGAGCCGCCCACCCTCTGGTCCGGCCCTGCCTCGCCCCCTGGGCCTCGCAGCAGCCACGGCTGCTGCCAGTCCAGCCCTGCCTCCCTCTCCAGCCCTTGAAGCAGCTGTGGCCGCTGCTAATCAGGCCCTTCCCCAGCGCAGGTGAGCGGAGGCCCCTGCCGCCCCACCCCTGATGCTGCGCGTGCAACCTCCTCATACCCAGGCGACCCGTTACGGCGTCCCAGTTAATTAGCATATTTCTCTATTATATATGTAGATAGTTCTCAGCCATGGATATGTTTTATTGATTTTAGAGAGGAAGGAAGAGAGAGAGAGAGACATTGATGAGTTGCTTTCCATATATACCTTGACGGGGGATCAAACCCATAACCCAGGTATGTGCTCTAACCAGGAATCCAACCTGAAATCCTTTGGTGCATGGAACAATGCTCCAACAAACTGAGCCACCTGTCCAGGGCTGAATAATTCATTATTATATTAAGATTTTCTGAGTTTGCTACATAATGTTCATAAGTTACTTTTTAAGCAAAAAAAATGTATGTGTATGTGTGTGTGTGTATATATATATAAGTATATATACACACACACACATATGTGTATATTACTGTTTTTGTAAATTAAAATTTCCACATTTTTAAATAGCTTTGCTCCACTTAGAATGCCAATTTTTGCTCCAATAATAATCACAACTGCCCTTGTATAAGGTGACCAGAATGCTCTTTTGTCAGTTTAGCTATTTCAGGAGTTAATTAGTATTAATCTGCAATTTTATTTTACATCATTTTAAGATTATAACAAGAGATGTGTAGGTAGCTCTAAAGTTATCATGGCAAATGAAGTGGTCCTGACACTTAGAAAGCACTCAATAAATATTATTAAATAATGAGTCCTTCATAATTACCAGTAATTCATTTCCTGCTTTAATTTAAAAAGCCATATTCATATACCCAACCATTTCTCTTTTTTTCCATCTTTCTGAATAAAACTACTTGATATCATTTCATTTGTGGATTTGAGAATATTTCTATTTCAGCTTCATGCATGGGATAATTATGCAAACATTGCAATTTGCTGCTATTTGCACACTGAAATAAGTACCACACTGAATGTGATATTTTAAATTGCCATATAAAATGTAACAAGGAGCTTCATCATCAAAACAAATAACAGATGGTTTTTTGTCATCAACCTCTATTCTCGCTTAAAAATATTGTGTCACTTTGAGCAAATTATGCCTTTGAAAATCTTTTCCTAAATAGTAATAAGAATGTTTGGGTTAGAGAGCTATATCTTTCTTTGGAGTATGAATAGCCCATGACCTCCCTTCAAGTGCAGGGAAGAGAAGGAAATCTCTCTCCCTTCCACTGCATGCCATGTAATTCCTGAAGCTCTGCTGGTGGGGACTGAACACTATGACAATGTCAGAACTACAGGTCGCTGCCTCTTAACCCAACACACTCCACCTGGAATCTTTTGGGAGGTAGAAGAAGCAGATGCCAGTAGGCAGGAGTTATGAGCTTTACAGAATTTACTCTTTCTGAAATAGATGGAGAAATAAAGTGAGTCAGGGAGGATATATTTTTATTTTCCCTTTCAGATTTCTTTTGTTGAATATTCCAGAAAGCTGAACAGGTTTTTATTGTATTACATATTCGCTATACAGGATGATACAATTATCATTATGCTAGAATATGATATTTTGAAAAGTTTTGTCATAATACTATTAGGGCAATGTCCTACTATATAACCAGATTATCTAAAATTGACTCTTCCTATAATGCTCTCACTCAATATTTATTCAGTACTTGATATATTTAGAACATGGTTTTTTGTTTTTGTTTTAAATAAGTAACAGTAATCCTCTAATCTTTAAATTCTCTACCCTTTGGGCCTGTCCTCAAATATTTGGAATGTAGAACAAGTTATAAATAATAATATATTTTAGCATGCTCTTGATACAGTTGGAATGCAAAATGGTGTATATGTTGTAAGAATACAGAATGCATGTTATACACTTACAAATAAATAATAATGGTTTTGATCATCACAAACATGATTATTTCCCTATTTTGTCATTGATATATTAACATACAAGCAGAAGAAATTTGATTTGAAAATGTGTTGTTATGCTTCTGAGAAGCATACATATAATTGTGACATTATACATAATGAGATAAGTAAAAAAAAAAGATAGGCTGAAATACTGCATAATGCTGCCCATGGTGTCAATACATTTAGAACCCTTGAGTAATTTAAGAATAACATTTTATAGTTATAATTCACTAATAAGCAGTTGCAGGTGAATCACTTGAATACCACATTTGAGTAAAGTATTTAGAGCAAAACTAACTTAGTTCATCAGATAGTGAAAGAAAATATCAACTCCTAGTCTTATCTCAGTACAAGAAAATCATTTGAATGTATTTCAAACAATTGGTTTTACCTGAAACACTGCAGGCATCTTCCATTATTTTCCAGGCATGTTTACATCCATTCACATCACTTAAGCATTGGTCTCTCAAATATGTGCAGTCAGTGGTTTGGGAAGTGGATTCATTTTCTGAGCACAGCCCCATGGCTTGAATAACAACAATCACAGGACAAAATAAAACAAAACAAGTTTGAGATATTACAGTATGGCAGTTATTTACCTCAAATCTACGTCATTAATGATAAAGAGCATAATTGTGGAAAATAAAATGTGATGAGATCATTCAAGATTGGAATGGATCTTTACCTCCCCTCTAGCTTTAGGTCTATATTTCTCCTACATAAGATTCTTCAATGAATAATCTGCATTTGCTCTCTCTCTCTCTCTTTCTTACTGCCTATTTATTTCTCAACTTATAATTTATTGTTATGCCTATCATTCTATTGACCCTGGTATTTAACATGTCCTAATCATTTTTATAACATCAAATTTTAATAGTGTTAAGACTTTACCTTGCCTACTTTTATCATTGGGCATTTTGTTGTCGTTTTGTTCTTCAAACTCTCCCTTCCTTCTCTTCTAGTTCTCTTGATACTTATTCAGTTGATATTTTCTGATCACTCAGAATCCTTTCCAGGATCCTCTTACTCTTCTGTTAACATATAGTTTTAGTTCATGTTCTTTCCTCACACATTTTCCATTCTCATTTTATACATTCTCTGTGGATAATTCCATGTACTCTCATCATTTTAACCAGCATCTCCAGACTGAATTCTCAAATGTACAATTAAATCCCATCATTTTCTAGAATTCCAGTTATAGATGCTGTTAATCCCACCTAATGTTCCAAACACACCTCCAGACTATAGTATCTTTAATATTCACCTCATAGTTACATTCCCTGATGGACTACCCTACTTCATCAGCAATTCCACCATTCACATAGGCACCCAACTAGAAACCTTGAATTTGTCATAGATCCCTTTTCTATCCTGAATTTCATTCTCCCATATCCATTCATGCATAATTCATTGACTATCATTTAGAATATTTCACCAGTTCATTAGTTAATCAGTCTGACTCCAGTTTCATCTATTCAGATAGATTCTTTTTTTATATTTATTTTTTTAATTTTATTTTATTGTTTAAAGTTCAGTATTACAAATAGTAGTACATATGTCTCCTTTTCCCCCCATTGATTCTTTACATGCCCTAAATTGCCTAATGCAATATTCCCGTGCTGGCATTTCTCTGCTTTATCCTTTGAATGGTCCCTCACAGCATGACTTATATTCTTCATCTTGATGGTTTCCCACATGTTCCATGCTGTCTTGTACCTCTGAGCATTTGCTGTACAGTCACTAGTAGGCACTCATTTTCTTTTTCTTCTGAAATAACTTTTGTTTTGTCCTTTAAGGCTCAACGTGATAATTGCCTATTTTATAGAAACTGTCCCTTAATTCAATACCCCCTTTTCATACATCCAAATTGAACTTAATACCCTTAATTTGTTTCACTACAATTTTGGGAATTCCTTATCTACAGCACTTATTATTCTGTAATAAAAGTATGTATTTTTGTGCTTGTCTCCACAGTTGGATTTTAGGGCTTTACTGGCATTAGAGGTAATTCATAATTATATCCTCCTCATCAAACACAATGATTCATTATAGATATCTAATAAATGAGTGTTAACTTACATCAACTTGAATAGTTGTTTATAGATGAGTTACATATAAAAAAACTTACAATATTCTATAACAATAATACTTTCCAGATATTTACAAGTTATTCTGAATAGGAGAGTAAAGGTTCCAGCAAGTTTTCTAAAAATATCAAGAAAGGTTAATTTAGCATATTGTACAAATTACTCAAATTGATTCTGTAGGCATGCAAACTGAAACTTGCTTAATCAATCCATAGAAAAATATGAAAATTGCAGATGAATTACAGAGATAGAATATTAACTAGAATCAAGAGACATTTAGCTATATCTTAACCAGAATCAAATCACTTGAATTTTTAAAAGGATGATGTTAATTATTAATCATCTGTGACAATATAAAATTATAGGCTTAAAATATTTATCTTACATCTTTTCCAATCTCTTCTCATAAGGAGAATCCAAGACAACTGATTAGATCATAAGTGCTACTTTCTCGGTACCACATGTGAAGGTTGGGGCCATGGATGTAATTTGGTCACATTTTTTTTTAAATTGAGGACTGGAGCAAAAATTAACATAACAGTTTTCAGTTTCATTTGTTTGTTTGTTGTTTATTTGTTCATGGATAACCTCATTTAGCCAAGCCCAAGCCCTAGGTTTGCAACTTTGAGGAAGATAAAGTGAGCTCCTTGGATTCTGACCCAAGGTTACTTTTTAAATCCAGTTTGCTGAACACCCTGAAGTAGGGATTTTATGTCAGAAATTCTATTTATAAAACACTGGAATTTTATTTTCCATTGATCATTATATCTTATAATTGTCTCCCTCCACCAACTTATAATAGGTGATGGTCTCCTGGATATATCATTGAAACCTCACCAGTATCTCCATGCAATAATCATTAATGAATTCTACTATGGTCTTTCCATAAACCCTTGCATTTTCTTTCATATTTAAATGTTTAGGTTGAACAATTCAGATTGTTTATTTTACATTATTTTTTATACCTTCCACTCAGATGAACCACTGAACCAACTAGAAAAACCATCTCAATGATTTGGCCCATACAACACCAAATATCTTCGACTTTCCAAAATCTTATTCATTCCTAACTGCGATTTGTTTGTGACTGTGTATTTAACCCAGTTTTCAAGGGTTCTCTTGAAGTGCTCCGTGAAAAACAAGGTATATTTTAAAATTAATATGATGAAGAATGTTGCAGATTATATTTACCCTTTAAAGATGTAAAAGGCTCATGAGGATATTAAATACTCTTTTAATAATTCACTATGTCCCACATGTCTTTGGACTTTCCCACATCACAAGACCTACTTAGATAATGTTAAACAAGCATTTTGAAGAATGAACTGTGGTAAATACTGGTTAAAACTATTGCCCTGGCTGGTTTTGCTTAATGGATAGAGCATTGGCCTGCGGACTCAAGGGTCCCAGGTTCGATTCCAGTCAAGAGCACATGCCCAGGTTGCGGGCTCCGTCCCCAGTAGGGGGTGTGCAGGAGGCAGCCGATCAATGATTCTCTCTCATCGTTGATGTTTCTATCTCTCTCTTCCTTTCCCTTCCTCTCTGAAAAATCGATAAAAATATATTTAAAAACAAACAAAAAAAACTATCAAATAGTACTATTTTAATCCTGTGAACATTGGAAATTATTTCTCTCCTTCATGCAACCTAGTGTCAAGGTTATCTAGGAGTAAAAGTTGAAAACAGGAGGCCACCATTGCCTTCTCAACTGGGGCCATAATGAGGTTGTAATATGTTTTGTGTTTTCTTATATGGCTATCTGATCTACAAGAGTTAAACTCTCCTACATTCTCTTTATAATAAAGAATAGAAATAAGATATTACTATTGTTAGAAATAAATACAAGAAGCAAATTTTTGGAACACTGAATAACTATTACTTAAACCAAAGAAAAACTAAAAACATGTTAAAAATGCTTTCCCTTCTTGCCTTAATTTTTTTGACTTGGTTTATTTTAACTATCCTTTTGTGCTTAACATAATTTGAAATAGACTTTTCTGTTTTCTTGCCCACAATTATGTCTTTATTTATCAAAATTTATTAGTGTAGAATAAGCTGAAAATATACTGGCTTTGGTTTAATGAGTGGACTATTACTATTCAGCTATAATCTTAAATATCCCTTTTATTCTAAATTCATTTTATATATTCTACTAAATGCTGAAGAAAACATAACTTCTCCAATAACACATATGTCAAATAGAGTTCATGAATTCTATTTTAAGTAGAATTCTTTTCTCACCAACATCTTACAATAGATCTACACTACCCAATATAAGAGAGATACAGCCACACTTTATCTCTCAGTCCCAGAAACTGACTGAAAGACTAAGAATTTGCTTCAGTGTTATTTTATTCTATAAATGACTCCTATCTTTTAAATACAGACACCTTAAAAGTAGGAGAATTGTATGGTTTAAATTAATTTCATTTTTATTTAATTTTAAAGAAAAATAGATAATAATTTGAAATTTGTCATCTTATAACTTGTAAATAGATACTGGAAGGTTTTATTTCTAAAAGGTTCTAGTATATATGTGAGTTCCATAGTCCTAATAAATAACTCAAAGTAACTGGATTATCCTATACACTAAAACAGAAGCAACCGAGTAATTAATGCAATTCTCACATTATGTATCTTCTGTAATTATAAATGAGCAAAAGTAAGTGTAAATTTTTGCAAAAGTTATAAACCATGCTAAAATAAAAATTTATAATTTGTACTTTATATTATAAGCCCCTATTAGCTTAATCAATAGTTAAATTACACAGGAAAGCATTTGGTGCCCAAAGAATTGGTGTTGTGAAGTCAGATAAACCAGAGCATAATTCACTTACCCAGGAAAATGAAGACTAGCATGCTGGATGACTTGGGCTGCTCACCTGGAAGAAAGGCAGATATACCTTCTCCAACCATCTTCTTAACAACAACTGTCCAGAATAAGCCTTCAGCCCCTGCTCTTGCTTTTTAAAAGCATTACAGATTCAGACAAGTCATGTACCTAGGTCACCACTTCCTCACCGATCTTTTCTGAGCTGTGAACTTTCCTTATTATGTCCAAATTCAATTATTTTGTTTTGAGTGTACTGATCTCAGATATTACTCTTCCAAGAAAGCCCACAAGCCAGATACTAAGAAATGATACATACTCTGCACATTCATGGAAAGTGGTGTTTTTATTTTCCTACAACTAGAATATGAAATTGTGTCAAAGACTGCCAACTATAACCCAACATTTTCCTAAACACTTGAGAATGCTCAGTTCCCGCTTGCTTAATTAGTCTCATTAAGGCAATTTTATGTTATTTGAGAAGATTAAAAAGGAGAAAAGGCATCAAAGCAGCTCAGAAAAAATGTCTGGGAAATTCAAGATCCACTAGTATCAAACTGGTGTACTTCATCCTCCCAAATAGGAAATGCTCTCTCCATGCGCCACACCCCCAGGATGCTTAAAAGTTCAGTACGCTTCAGCTCCAGTTCCTCCAAGCCTCCACTGCAGTGACAGTGTAAGAAACAACTTCTCACCACAGTGCAGAAATCCTCCTTCAGTGGAAATGGAAATAGATATGTGCTCTTCTATGTGCTATTCCTCCACATGTGCTCATCACTGGACAAATACTTTCCTCCTGGCATCAATGGGAGGCATTGCTATTGTCTAAATAAATGTGTCCCCCTAAAATTCATATGTTGAAATCCTAAACCCCAAAGGTGAGGAGGTGTGAGGAGGCAGAGAAGTTGCAGATGCTTGTGAGTGTGAAACCCCCGTGAATTGACTTATTGGCTTAAGAAGGAGGCTCGAGAGATCCCTTGTTCCTTCCACCTTGTGGGGACATAGCAAGAAGTGCCAGCTATGAACCAGGAAGAACACCCTCATGAGAATGTGACTTTGGAGATGCCTTGACATTGGACTTCAGTTTCCAGAACCCTGAGAAATAAATTTCCATTGTTTTATAAGCCTCCTAGTTTGTAATATTTTGTTATAGCAAAAATGCAAAGTCTGGACTAGAAAGCATTATTTACCTCATGGTACTTTTAAAAATTGATTTCAGAGAGGAAGGGAGAGGGAGAGAGAGAGCTAGAAACATCAATAATGAGAGAGAATCATTGATTGGCTGCCTCCTGCAAGCCCCATACTGGGAATCAAGCCCCAAACCTGGCCATGTGCTCTGACTGGGAATCAAACCATGACCCCATGGTTCATAGTTTGACACTCAACCACTGAGCCATGTCGGTCAGGCTCATTGTACTTTGTGTTCTTCCTCACAAGAACCCAGAACACATCATCTCCCTTGGGGCATCATGAGGCTTCCACTTTTAACCCCACACCCCCACCCCCACCCCCAGCCTCAAGACCTTTCTGTAATGGATGCTTAGAAATATAAATGCCATTTTGACAAGAAATTAGAAAAAGATAGGTTTAGATAATCGACTATTGATATAGGAAAGAAGCATTTGTGTGTACACAGTTATAAAATGAGAGAGTTGTTGATTGCAATTGTCCAGGTTTATTTTATACTAAGAGAGAAGCTATATTTTGTTTTAAGAATGCATAATGAAAAAACAAATCTCTGGAGTCCAAAAAAACAAAATAGTAATACTGCTTTTCCTCTATAAATGTAGGAAGTTATATAGATTTATTCCTCTGTAATAATGGGCTAATTGTATTCATGGTGCTATAAATATTAAGTATATAGATCAGATTTACTGTATACCACAGAGATCCACAAATGCCAGTTAAATTTCACCCACTGACTTAATTATTATTTAATACAATAATTATTCTGTCATAAAATTAATCAAATGTTTCCTTTGTAAAGGTACCAAGTCACTAAGCTTGTATTATCATTTTACCAAGATAATTGTTCTTTTACATAGAAGCCAACTAAAAATGCCTTAAGCTAGAGAGGGCTTCGGTGGCTCCCATACCTGGGGGCAAGGAGAAACCCAAAAGTAGCAGGCCACTCCGGACTGGCAGGTGACAGGGTTACTATGCAAGGGAACTGACCTGTGAGTGGGTTGTCTTCGGTGATGGAAAGATTACTAGATCTCTGCACCCATCTGCCAGATTCTTCGAAGTTTATTCAGAAGCCTTACTGGGTTCAGCCACATATTCAGCCCAGATGGGCTCAACAATGCATTATTCTCTCGTGGTTGTGTCCATGACACAGCTTCCACTGTGGGAACAGTGAACAGGACAAACAGTCCAAGGACAGGGGAGGGGGTGAGGACCCTCCAATTGCTGAGTCCAGCTTGAGGGTCAACAGGCAGTCACGTCCTCTTCTTGACCTCCTCCAATAGGCTCCGTAGCTGAAGAGTCCAGGTGAAGAACGGACTTCAGACATGTTTTAAACCTTGTCTTTTGGGCCTGAGGGTTTTCCCCCTCCTGTCTCTGAGCACTTTCTTCTGTGTCAGCTTCATTCTCAGGCAGTTTCTTTTCTTCCTTTGGAAGGCAGTTGTCAAGCCCTGGGTATGAGCCTTTCTCCCTTAGAAGCCAGAGTGGGAAATGTGACTCTTTTCCTATTAAAATTCCAGACTGTGTCCCATGCCCATCCATTGAAACGGATCCCAGTTTGTGCCCAGTGTCACAGATTTAGGTAGAGTTGCCCCTGCTCAGTCCACAGGTGCCCATGGTGGGAGAGGAGTGCATCACCAAGGAAAATCATTGTATTCAAAGAAGCATGTGAACGGATCCTGGGAAGAGAAAAAAAACACGTACTCAGTAAAGCATCTAAAAAAGGGTGAATTTATGTCGGGCTACCACAAGCAAAATAAGCTGATGAAACAAAAGAAAAGAATATTAAAACACAGTTTCCTGTTCAAGGAGGTGATATAGTTATGACTTTCTTGACTACAGGGATACGCAGAATCTGAACTTATGACACTGGGTGAGAGAGGCTAATCATTGCAAATAGGTACAGCTGCTGAGGTCTATCGCTGACAGGTGTAGAAAGTATCTGGGCTCTTATAGCTGCTTATCCCAAAAGAATAATTATTAGCTGTGTCACCATCTAAATCAGGAAATTTTTAGCATTTCAGTGTGCTACCTGCACCCTTTCTCTCTATATATTTTTGCTATTATTCTTTTTATTTTATTCGAATTATCCATATACATATTCCAGAACATGTTTTTCCTTAAATTTCATTTTTGTTTTAACTTTTAATGTTTTTCTTTGTTGCTGCAAGTGTTACATATGTCCCTTCTTTTACCCCATTGACCTTGTCCAGGCCACTTCCACCTCCCGATCCCAGACCTTCACCAACATATTGTCTGTATCCATGGGTTATGTATATATGCATATAAGTTCATTGGTTGATCTCTCTCCACCCACAAACCCTCCCCTTCTTTCCCACTGAGGTTCAACACTCTGTTTGTTGCTTCCATGTCTCTGGATCTATTTTTGTTCATCAGTTTATTTTGTTCATTAGATTCCACAAATGAGTGAGATCATGTGATACCTATCTTTGTCTAACTGGCCTACTCCTCTTAGCATAATGCTCTCTAAATCCTTTCTCTATATTTTTATGACTATTTTTAAGGTACAATTTTTAAGAGGATTATGAAAAAGATTAACCATATTAAAATATATTTATCAAATAAATTTCCAAGAAAGAAATATATATGGTACTTTATCACAAGAGTAAATATCAAGATCCAGGTGGACTAAATAATACTGTAATTTCACTGTAGTGAGTGATGACCATAAATGCTAATTTGGGATAATTTCCACAAATTCAGTGTCATAAAAATATTTGTCATTTCTATTGGTGACAAAAACAGCACAAGATGTACTGAATTTCAATTGGAGTTTAGTAAAAATAGAATACAATTTTGCTATGGGAAAATGTACAGAAACCCCAAATTAATAAACCTTATTCTAACATTAACAAAAAAAAGTAATTTCAACTCGATTACTTACTTAAATGAAAATCAGCCATTGAAATAGAACATTTTAGAGGTGAGGGGAAATGATAAAATCTTCAGTTCCAATAGTTTACAATGATCATCAGTGTGAGATTTTTAAAATATATCTATGTTTTGAATAGCATGCTACTAATTAATGAATAAAAGAGGAAAACAGAGTTGATTTGGCTGAAATCTATGTGAGAAGCCCAACCTCTATTCATCGGCTTTGCCATCACCATCCTCAGCTACCACTGAGGCATCCACAACTTCCAGAATTCCTATACAAAATTCACTGATTTCATTTGATTGTTCTAATTTTTTTTTACATAAAGAATCCATTCTCATAACAGATAAGTGAAATGCACAAGACCTTATACCTTGTCACTGGGCAAAAGACACTAGGATTTTTATTCAACAAATATTTACTAAAAGCCTGCTATACCCAAGCCTCTGCAAAAATGAGGAATGGTCCCTTGTTTCACAGATCAGATGAAACTACACATAAGAAAGAGAAAAAAAAATTGTTGAAAAATGAAAGCAATAGTCAGTGAAACACCTATTCATAGAAGACATTTTCTTTTGGAATGAACACAAGGAAACTACTTTGGTGACAATGACAGCAATTCCTTTCCAACTATCCCTGCACTGATACTATATTCTATATCCATCTACTTAAAATTCCATAAGACACCCACTCATCTGGAGGAGAGAAATACAATTTAATCAGCCTCAAATTTAGAGTCAACCTAAAATTGACAGCTCTAGGAAGAGAAGAAAAAAAAATTATATATATATTAGAGAGCCGGTGCATGAAATTCGTGCATGGGTAGGGTCCCTAGGCCTGGCTGGTGATCAGGGCCTTCCGGCTGGCGGCTGACATCCTTGACAAAAGGGAGAGTCAGTTCTTAAGTACAGAGAGTTCTAAAGCTCTATCCCAAGAAATTGATTTTATTTG